GGAGAATTAAAATGACAGCTGGAAAGATTGTTTCCAGTTTTGCTAATACCTGCATTGTACTAAAGTGACATACTGTAATGGTGAAATGAATAGGATGGCTACTATTAGCACACAGAACACACCATCTATTGTCTATTGTGGTCCTTAACTCCAGTGGGCAGACATGAACTTTGAGCCCAGTACTGGGAATTACTATCCTACAGTATTCTTCAATGAGTTTTGGTTGCTCAGGGATAAGTTGACCGCACTGAATGAAACAGTGACGGAAGTGCCCCTTAATTTGGAAGTTGGCCCAATAAGCATGACAAAGTGGCAACTATTTCTTCAGATTGATCAGTCGTTCCAGATACACCGAAGTTATGGAAGCATGCTTGATGGTGAAGCTGATGAGTTGAAGGTACTGTATCTCTGTATTTATGACATCAAGAGTCTTTATGAGCACTGCTTCTACATGTGGTGTCGTAGACCAAATAGTTATGTGCAAAGTGTATGCTATCTAGGTCGAGTCAAGTACCTGATCCTGGATGGAAAGATGATTGTGATTCGGTTCTTGTGGCAATAGTTACTTGCATGGAGATTGTCATTCAGTTCTTGGCATGTAGATTTGGGTTACATGTGATGTGACAGGATGGTAAAGTGATTGTGATTCAGTTACTAGAGGGAAGGACTGGTATGAAATAGTTCACCTCTAAGGAAACACTGTTATACGACATTATGTACTTATAGTTCATGCTTCAAGAAAAAGTATTTGAATTTAGATCGCTAGATTCTGTTTTGTGATCTCCTGTGTATGCTTCCTGTTAGATCCCGATTCCATGATGGAAATTATGATTAATGGCATGCCCCGTTGTTTTCTAACTTTCAGAGGGTGTTCTTGGAAGGAAATCCTTATCTCCTTGGGATCACAATGGTTGTTTCCTTGCTCCATTCAGTCTTCGACTTCCTGGCTTTCAAGAATGGTGAGGTTTTGCTCTTTTATTAATCTAATAATACACAAGGACATTGGAATGTCCAATTTCCAATCGAAGTGTTTCTTACTGATCTATTGCTGCAGATATACAATTTTGGAATAAAAACAAGTCTATGGAAGGATTGTCAGCAAAGTCTGTTGTCGTGAACTTTATATCTCAGCTCATCGTCTTTCTCTATCTACTCGACAATGACACCTCATGGATGATCCTTGCGAGCTCAGGTGTTGGTGTCTGCATCGAGTTTTGGAAAATTGGGAAAGCAATGCACATTGAGGTATGAGGGATACGTTAAATTTTTGCAGTCTTGCAGTCCCTTCATAATGTTAACTCTCCAAATGAACACCATTTTAGGTATGAGCCATGGAAAAAGTATGCAATAGTGTTCTGTGTGGATAGGTCTTTTAGGTTCTCTTCATCATTATTTGAAGGATGCATCATAACAAATGCAGATGTGCTTGTAGTACGATGTGATAATTCAATATTTACACTGGGTAAAGCAAAGGATTTCGGTTAAGTTCTTTCTTGTTGTAATTTAAAACAGCTGAAAGTTCAGTCTGGTTTCTGCTTCCACAATGTTCACTTTGTTCCTCACATGAACAGATCGATAGAAGTGGCAAGATCCCAATGCTGAGATTCCGGGACCGTGAGTCTTATGCTGGAAATAAGACAAAGGAATATGACGACATTGCAATGAAGTACTTGTCCTATGTGATATTTTTCCTTGCTGCATGCTTTGCTGTTTATTCGCTCAAATATGACCGTCACAAGAGCTGGTACTCATGGATTCTCTCGTCGTTAACAAGCTGCGTTTACATGTTTGGTAAGACATCATTGTCCAAACCCCTAGTGGTGTGCTGTGACAAAATCAGTATTATCTGTTAACTATTTATGAAACGTTTAACTTCTCTGGTGGGGGGGTTTGGCAAAAAGTTGATTGTGTTGTGTCCCTGCAGGTTTCATAATGATGTGCCCGCAGTTATTCATAAATTATAAGTTGAAGTCGGTGGCTCATATGCCTTGGAGACAAATGACATACAAGTTCCTCAATACCATTATTGATGATCTATTTGCATTTGTCATAAAAATGCCGATACTACACCGGCTCTCAGTCTTCCGTGATGGTGAGAGTCTAATTTAGTTTCCTTTTTCTTAGTTTCCCCTTTGGTTTCAGTTCTGCTATGATTTTATCGACGTCTGTCGGGCAACGTAATGATCCTCATGCCTGGTGTTGTTTATTTGTTTGCAGATATCATATTTCTGATATATCTGTACCAGAGATGGGTCTATCCAGTGGACAAGAAGCGTGTAAATGAGTTCGGCTTTGGAGGCGAGGATGATCCGGCCTCCATCACCGCGGCGGCGGGCGCGGTTGCTACAGTATCAAAAGAGGAAGATAAGAAGACAAACTGATCAAAGCTAGCTTGAGATAATTATTGTTTTAATCTTGTCCCTGTCAATATTTTTGGAAACTAAACTGCAGCAGGAAGATTCGTTTACTTTATTAGGAAAGAAATGTTGCTAGTTCCATCCAGTCAGGCTTTGCTTTCTTCTTCTTGGGGCTCTTTTTTTTATCAGTTTTGGTTTGATGAATTCCTACTCTTGTGGCCACAAAAAGTTATATTTCATGGAACGTAGAGTGGTCCAGTACGACAGTTAAAGGACATGATATTTGAGTATTTTACAGTCTCTCACCCAAGGCGGAATATGATATATTTTTAGCTCATTGGTTATTAGGGTAGTTTGGTTTTGGTGATAGTTTGGTTGGGATACTTACAATGCATGTAATGTCCACAATGTATCTTTTTTTTTAGTTTTTTGTGCAAACAATACATACATTGTTTGCTTGATTTGACACAAACTATCAGTGGCGGACCTAGGATTGTCGGAGAGGTGTATCGCCGATAAAATAAAATAATAATTAAATTAAAAAAATTAAAAAAATTAAGTAGAAATTAAAAAAATTAATTCATAAAGTTCACAATGTCATGTTTACAACGAATCGCGATGATTTTTCATCTGCTGAAATGTCTTTAAAATACATTAATCACTTATACTGCAAAGAAAATCTTTTTCAATATACACAACTAAACAATCATTCATAAATTGGTCACTCAACCGATTTCGAAGATCATTTTTGATTATCTTCATAGCTAAAAATGTTCTTTCACAACTTGTCGTTGCAACAGGTAATGATGGAGAGTTAGTGGCCGCCTGGGCTATTGGCCATTAGGCCTGTGGGGTTTTTTTTCTCTTTTAATTATAAGCCGAGGCCCAACACACATCACACATGTATATTGTATGGGCTGAGAGTTTGTTTTTTTTAATAGGAATTGATAGGATTATGATTTATGAGTTATTTTAAACAAAATTAAAAAGGATTATGATTAAGATTGATTTATTCGGATAATAAATTCTTCGAGTATAATGAAGGTGTGTCGGCTATAATTATTGAAGGTGTGTCGGCTATCTCGAAATAAAAAATTTTGCACCAAAAATATGTAGGTCCTTCACAAAATTCTCGAGCGAGGGTGTGTCGGACGACACACCCTCCCTTGCCTTAGGTCCGCCACTGCAAACTATCACTCAAAATTATTGATAGTTAAATCTCAAGTTTTCGTTGAGATTGTTTGATGGAGATTGTTGTGTTTTCTTCTTATTCCAAATATGTCCCTACCTTTTTATGTGTGTTGCTTTTTTATATTAAAAACAAAGGATAAAAGTGACATTTTACCCAAAAAAGTAATATAATTCATGTAAATACTACAATAACTATCACAGAAACCAAACGATGTAAACTACAATGTACCAATTTTTTATATACGTGTATATTATTATGCATGCATTGATGACAATACACCACTTTAACTATCATCAAATCAAAACCAAACGACCCGGTTTGGAAAAAGGATTAGAAACCGAGGGGAATGGCTAGTGTTATGTTAACATCCAATTTTCTAATATGATGATAATACCAGGTTTAGTAAATAGGAATTTTTATTTTTATGAGTATTTTAAGGGGTTGTTCATAGTTATGGGGATTTATAAACAGGGGTACGCTTGATCAGTTGATCTGGGACGACAGTCGTGCTCTTCCCTTTTCCTCAAATTCCATCGTTTCAATAACTGTTTGATCCCATCAATCAGCTGGCGGTAGGGGTGGAAATTGGGGTGGGTGTGGTTACCCGCCCCCACATTTTGCGGGTAACCACACCCACAAATATGGAATTATGTTATCCACAATCCGCCCTGCAGTGGGTAGTGGTTAACTACTACCCGTTGCGTAACCACTACCCGTTGCGGGTTGATGCGGGTTGGTTGTGGATACCCACAAAAATTTCACATTAAACATAATAATATTGTAATTAAATAGTGATGTTGTATTTCTTCTCGCACAAAAACATACATCAAAGAAAGTTAATAAAGTGTAAAATAAATTATAAATCTCAAATACAATAGGTTAGTTAGTGTAAATTCAGAAGTGATGGATTTGGAAAGAGTTTTTAAATAACGGAGAGGCAGAGTGATATGTTACCAGACTAACATCGTTGCATGTCACGACTCCTCCAATGGCAACAACAACAAAACACAAAATGGCTCTATAAGTGGAGGCGTCCGCTTTTAATGAATCTATTATTCTCCACTATCGATTATAGTCTTGTGTTGTTGGTAGTTGATTGCATGTTGTGTTGTTCGTGAGTTCATGGAGAAATGGAGATGAGTTTGGGTATCTGACTAACCTTTATCGATTATTCTCCTCTTTGAACAAATCAATTAATTTATCCGACTATATCTATGGACTTGGTTTTGTTATAAAATAAACATATATAACACAGGGACAATGCTTATTTAGTAAAAGTATTTCACATGAACATTGTGTATTGACTTGGTTTTATTCTATAGAATAAGTGCATATTTGATTTTGGTAGCTTTTTCATTCTTAGTCTTCCAAGTTTCACAAACTAATATAACTAATGTGGTTAATGTGGGTTTTGTGGGTAAACCGCTGTGGGTTAGTGGTAACCACTAACCACAAAAATCAGTATTTTACTACCCACACCCAATCCACTATCCACAAATTGTGCGGTTTGGTGCGGTTTGCGGGTAACCCGCAAACCAAACTTCCACCCCTAGCTGGCGGTATTAGCTAAAAACAAATTGCAGCGATCACAGAGAGAGAACCACTCACCTTCGACAAACCGGTAACATAACTATGTCTACTTCCTTCAAGCCTCAGGTCAGGCCGCAGGTAACACGAGTTCGTCGTAGTTTTACCCGTTCATCAAAACATGCACATTACCTCGCTCTCCCCTAAAGAAAAGCAATGAAATGAAGTAGCCACTACTTCCGTCCACATACCTGAGGTCCTAGCTGGGATTTTACTACTCAACTAGTTACTACTAATAGCTAAGTCACTCCAACTTGTGGGACAGTCATATCTCATGCTTGGGCGTTCACTTCTGGGCTGTACTTTTTCATCAGATTGGCCAGCTGGGAATCAAAATCTCTCTCCAGATCAACCTCTTCCTTCCAGTGTCTGCGCCTCATATCAGCGATTCGGTCCTCGTGTAGTTTCACCAGCTTCTCCCTCTCGTCCACAAACTCCTCCATCTCTTTCTCCTGAAGCTGGATGAACTTTGAGATCTCGTCCACCCTACCAACAACAGGTCAACGGACCGATAGATCAACAGCTGCAAAGCAACGATGTACGCGAGCATTAACAGTTAATCTGCGCAATAGAGACATACCTGCTTCTGTATTCCTCCTTCCCATATGAACTCTGGTCTTTCACCTTCTTGCGCTCCTCCTGCTGTCGGTTCTCAAAGTCATCTTCCTTTGCCTTCCTTTCTTCATGGATAATTCTGAGTTGATCCTTGAAGAACTCTTCTTGGAAATCCAACTTCAAACAGACAAAATTCAAATTTGTCAAAAACTGTCCAACAGAGATGCTTGCCCAAATACCGACACCTATCATCCTCATTCACGCATCTACCAGCAAGGAGCAAGCCATGCCCAAAAAATGTATTCATTGCAGAAACTGACCAGCTAACTGCATTCAGTTTTCCTGCCAATACACTGTTATGAAGTGGTGACTTACTTCGCTGCATCACTTCATACAGCTTGACAGACCAGTTTTATAATCCTTAAAACACTATTAAGCATGCAGTATGGAGTAATGGGCATTCAAATGCAGATTCCAATTGAAAAGATTTCAGACATAGCAGCTTCTGAGCAAAGAAAGAAGAACAGAAAGGATGACAACAATACTTGAAACTTATATAGCTAGACAAAGCTTGTAAGCTAGTACGAGCATCTCTGGACCGCTGGCTACGAAACCAGTATTGCCCATCCAGAGCCAATGAGCACAAACAACACAAGTGCTCTTTTACTCATTTCTGTACTGAGTTCAAACCAGAGTAACTCCCTCAACAGGCCATGACATGCTCGTACTAATTTGGTGCCTAAATACGTGGCGAATGACTTTATAAAATCACTAAAAAGCAAACCTAAACCGAGGACTAACGATAATTCACAATTGGTTTCATTACCTCTTCTTTGTTCTGTTCATGATATATCTGGGTTCTTTGTCTTACAATGCGGTTTTCCTCCATTGTCTTCCTCAGCTTCTCACTGACAGTGCCAAGAGATTCTGCAAGAGCTCTGGAATTCCTCTGTTCTTTTATAACTTTACTCTTGTAAAATGTAAGCTGCTCATTATCATTGCAGACTTGGTTATAGTCTCGCACCACCGCCTCGTTGTATGACCTCATCTCGTACTTCAACTTTGCCTTACCTATTGACGAGATAAATATACCAAAGTCAGTGCAGACAATAAAAAGGATCCACAACATCATACGAGGGAAAAAGCCAATACACCGATTATAAAAGGAAGCTATGTACATAAGCAGAGCAAACATGTAGAAGGATAGATGGGAAAGGGCAACCAACAGAAATATCCATGCAGATAGACACACAGAGAGATAGAAAATACCCTGAGAATGCTGATTGAAGATGTCCATATCTTCCTTTGTTGCCATGAAACCATACAGCTGTCTCTTGCCACCAGGATAAAACAAGTTTCTCCTTTGATTATTCCATGCGTTCCTATCTGTTCCCTGGTCTGCAAAATGCCTGTCCAAGCGTGCCGCTTCAAAATAACCCCTTGAAGAGCCCTCGAAGATGAGGAGACTCATGCCACGGTGACCCTGTGGCCCATAAGAATGTCTGGCCTTCACAGCCGCATATGATCTGAAATAATCAAGAAGCTCTTGGTTGCCCATGCCAAGCCACTGAAACACAATTCAGGTACAGATGCCTTAGATAGTATCAACTAGCTTGATGTTGTTATTATGAAACAAGTTTGGTTGATATTGATTCTCAAGAAGCAAAAAGTAAAAATCATATAAATCTAGCATAAGCAAACACATCCGGCTAAAGAGAGGAAGAAGCATTACCTTTTCATTGTCATCCTTATCAAGCCTTGTGTTCATAATGATAACCATAGGAGGCCAGACTATTTCGTAGTCTTTCTCTTCCTCCTTCAACCCTTTCCATTTGCCAAAAACTTCACCAGCAGGAATAACAGAAGTTCCCCTCCTGGACAACTCCTCATCCAGAAGTTCAGCAAGCTCCCTGTGTAGCTTTACTCGTTTCGCTCCTTTTGTTCTGGCATGAGCCATCAAGGGTTGCAGACCTTTGAACCAGTCAATTGAACCTGGACCACCTTGGCATGCTGGACAGTGCCACTGTCTTTCTGGTTCAGCAATCTCCTCTAGTCTAAGGCTGTCCAAACTATCAAAAAACTTCTTAAACCAGCGGCTCTTTTTACGGGTCTCAAAGCTCTTCTGACTAACATCAGAATCATAATCATCGCTAAGAAGCTCATCATCACTATCATCTAACACCCCGTCGTCGTCTTCATCTTCTTCATCGACACCAGCTGGCTCATTGGCATCATCCTGCTCCTTTTCTGGTGTCGCTTCCAACTCTTTCACTGTGCCAGGCCTTGATTGCCAATTCCAACCATGCGCCAGCGGAGGGGGAACAGCAGCTTGTGGAGGAGCCCAATAATTCTCCAAGCTCTGATTGGACGCTTGATACTTTCCATTTCCTCTGCCAGTTGGTCTTGAAGACTCAACTGCTTGATTTGGCCGAGCATTGCCAGTCGCCCTTCTTGCTCCACCATTATTTCGCTGTCCCCCATCTCTCTGCCCCCAAGATTGTGCGTTAGAATTTTGCGTACCCCAAGAATTCGCTGCTCTGCTTCCTGCCTTGTTCTTGTTAGACTTCTTTGAGTAGACCTCCCAGTCACCATCACCTTCTGGAGAATCAAGTTTAATATCTGCTACACCTTGATTCAATTGCTCAAACTGGGGATTGGATGTTTGTGGTGACTTCCCCTTGTTTGATGGAGTGGAACTTGTACCAGAAGCAAGAGACTTCCCACCCTTTCCCCTAGAACTCATCTTGCAAGCAACTAAATCTGAGAGATCATTAAGAAAATAAATGGTCAGATATCACCTATAGCAGCTAATGACCAATTGATAAAACAAAACAACCTACAAAAGTAAAAAGTGCAGATCAGAGCTTTGGAACACCAAAATATTCACAATCCTATAACCCCTCAACAGGAATCGGGTCAAAAGTACTAGTAAAGTAGCTCTGAGAAAAGCTCCTGACGAAGTCTCGTATCCATAAGAACAATGTGCAACAAGAATAGTCATATCAAAACAATTATTTCGCTGCCTGCAACCACCAGCCACTCGCCAAAATATCTGTGGCTGATCAAAGCTTCCTATTCAGAAATTGAATGACCACTCAAGTACAGCAAATGCAGAAAATAGGCAATGTAGCCATATTCCTGGGAAATTACGGCAGGAGTGAAGGAGCATCAAAAGACAGAAGTGACAAAAGAAGACATACTTAGACTATTCTCAAAAGATGAGAGCCTAAAATCACCTACAAAAAATGTCACAGCCCCATCGGAGAAGCCAACAAAGTGACCTAACAGCCCATCCTCCACAACAGTACCCCCACTTGTTCCCAAGAAGAAAACACAACGCCGACGAGTTCGCATGTGAACAATCAAACCGGAATACAGCAGCGCATCAGTACAAATCAAAGAACACATAAAAAGCCCACTGATCTGCCATACTATTACAACAGAGGAGGGAGAGATAACACCTGTCTCTTACAACTAGCTCATGAAATGAGCATTTGCACATAAAACCCTAACCGAAAAGAGGAAGTGATGGACGAACAGAAAAAAGCGTTTCTGAAGAAACAAAGCAAAAGAGGATGAAAGACAACAATCGAACCCCTAGAATCAGCGGGAAATATATAAAAACAATCGTATACCTGAAAATGTGAAGATTCCCGTGCTAGGCAGACTCAGGTCAGGCAGCGATGATCACCACGAAGGAAACAGAGACTGCGGCAAGAAAAAAGCAGCGCGAGGACTTGAAAATAGACAAGCCAAAGAGGATGAGAGAAGTTAGCCACAGCAAAGATCGTTAAAATACGCTTACAGAGTAAGACGACGAGGCTCGCGCAGAGATCGTCCACCGGCGATTATTATCGGCAGTCCCGCTTCGAGAGCAGTGAACCAGCGACTCACGAAAAGAGTGTGAGTCCGTCAGTGATGACTGAGGAGGGAAGCAAATATACGTGAAAAGGACGGGCTGCAGTAATATATATCCGTGCGCTCAAGTCTATGCTTTCTTTTTGTTGAATCGTTCTTTGACCATTGATCTAGTACCCAATTCCTTTGGTCGAATAGTACAGAAATCTTTATGTAAAACTCTGATTTGGCCAATTACTAATTCACACAATATACCTTTCAATGCACTAAAAACAGTAATCTTATTTAATTTGACATCCATATTGAAATAAAATGATCGATAATGAGGTGTAGTTGTTAGTTGGTTATACTTTTTTATTAATGCAGAAGCCTCATTATTTCCTTATTGAATTGTTGGTTTAGTTGTACGTTTGCTCTACTATTAAAAGTTTTTCAAATTTGATTATCTGCATGAGTAGTAACCTTTTTAAATGAGACAAGTAGTTTGTAGAAGATTAATTTACGGTTTTACTCATGCTTCTGCTTGTATGAAGCGCGCATTTGACTACATTGATGCCCTTAATAATTAATAAATATTCAATACATTAAAAAAACGAAACATTGTATTGTAGAAAACGTGGTAAAAAATGTAAGAGATTAACATACTTGGAATATTTACAAAAACTAAATATCCTTCATAAAACAAAATTAATTCTCAAGCTCTACGAAGTACTAAACTTAAATAACTTCATCATGGAGTCCAGTGGTGCACTAAACTTTATGATGAGCTACTGAATCTCAGATTGTGCTTCTAATGCTCCTATGATTCCTGAGTGTAAGCACATGCTTCTATGATTCCTGAGTGTAAGCACAGTGATCAGTTTTTATTCAGCTTATTAAAGCCGAACCGAGCTAGTCCATTCGACCAGTAAAATAGGAGACCAGCCAACAGCTCGATTCGGGTGGCTGATGTGAATGCCTGTTAACAACCGGTTGGTCGGACATCAGTTCAAGCTGTTTACCGCCAGAACCGGAAGAACCGACCATGCATTTCAGAGCATTTGGCCGGACAGTTTGAACTTCGATTACAAATTAATGACCCCACTGAACACTGATTCGTATTGCAGCATTGCGATTTGCGACTTGGGACATTTTAATCAACTCCTCCTATCAATTACTCCACTAAATTCTTATTCACATTTTTTTTTACAAAAGATAATCTTATATTGATTGAGAGAAATATACAGTTACATCCTGGAATTCAGCCAGGCCTGATAATCAAAGAAATGACTTGTAGACCAAATGAGCTACTCTATTGTTACGCCGACCTACAAATCGTATAGTAAAATCCATGTTCATGTCAAACAACTGGACAACCTCATCAAGAATCGATCCCACTCGATTATCTCTAACATCCCGCCGAAGAATCTTCTCAATGATCACCTGGGCATCCCCTTCAAATCGCATTACATTAAAGCCGCTAGCCAAACACCATACGACTGCCTCTTGGAGAACAAGCACCTCAATCACCATCGGGTCATCAATCCCAGGGAACTGAATCTCCTTGACTAAGAGGATCGCCCTATCAGGGCTCATGAGAAACCATCCCCCTGCTGAATGGGACCCATTCCGTACAGCCCCATCCCACATACAAATCGCCACATTCGATCCAACTGGATCTAAGAGAGGAGTAGTCGAACTAGGGAGCTGTAAGATCTGGGTCACCGAAAGGCCAATGAATTCCTGAACCTGTTGATTGAGCTGTCGCATCAAGGCAGGGATCCCAAACTGTTTGCCTTTGAAGACAACCCAATTACGAGATTGCCATATCCGCCATAATACAACAACCACCAACATCAATAACGATGGCTGGTATATCAATGCCAACAACATCTTCAGAAAGAACGGGAAGGCATGACGAGGCAGCCCTTCTCCCAGGTGGGCAAGCCTAGAGTGATCCCAAAGGGCTCGAGCAACCGGGCAATCCAGAAACATATGTTCCAGAGTCTCCGAAGTTTCCCAACATACCGGACATTGAGGTAGGACATCAACTTTTTTTTCAATCAGGGCCTCCATAGTAGGCAAAATTCTATGGAAGATTTTCCAGAAAAACACCTTAAGCTTCGACGGAATATTAGCCTCCCATAACCGAATCCAACTTTCCTTATCCATCCAACTTGCCATAGCCCTCCACCGGCCTCTGTAACGATCCAGATTGACCGCAACATAATATGCAGATTATATCGTGAAAACTCCATCAGGAGTCGCATGCCAGATTAACCTATCCTCAATATTCTGCCGAGGCAGAGGAATGGCCTTAATAGCTCGGCAAGTCTGTGGATCAAACCATTGATTGAGTTTCAGATCGCACCAGCTCCCTCCCCCTGATTGGATAACCTCCGCCATAGCCAGCACCTCCCCCTCAGGAATCACACAAGGATTGTAGACTGGAGGAAGAGGATGTTGCTGAGCGATCCAGCTAGACGTGAGAAAGAGGGGCTTTCTGACCATTATCAATCTGCCAACGTAGCCCTATCTCCAACAATTGGTGTCCAAAGAGGATACTCTGCCACCCCAGGAAGAACAGGAACGAGCCGTAGCCGTGAGAAAGGATCCGTTGGAAAAATATTTTCCTTTATAAACCTGAAAATGAGAGATTGGGGTTCCTGAAGGAGTCGCCATCCAATTTTTGCTAAAAGAGCTTGATTGAAATGCTCAAATCGGCGAAAGCCCATACCCCCTTCATGCTTGCTTTTGCACATGTTTCTCCAGGAAACCCAACGAATCTTAGACTTCCCCTCTTCGACCCCCCACCAAAATCATGCTACATGCTTATCCAGAAGGCGACAAAGAGATAAGGGCAACTTGAAGCAGGACATAACATGCAACGGTAAAGCTAAGGCCACTGATTTAATCAGAACTTCTTTCGCCGCCCATGACAACGTCCTACGTTTCCATCCCTATAGCCTAGACAAAAGCTTCTCCTCTAGATAGCGAAAACTAGCCATCTTAGAGCGAGCAATCAGGGATGGAAGTCCTAGATACTTATCTTGGACTCCCACAACCCCTACACCAAGGATCTCCGCCAAAAACTCTTAATCGGCCAAAGCGATATTTTTACTAAAGCAGACCGCCGATTTAGCCAGGTTCACCCTTTGGCCACTGAGCTCCTCGTATTCATTTAGTACCTCGATCAATTTCTCACATTCTTGGAGAGAACCCCTAAGGAATAGATAAGAATCATCAGCAAAGAACAAATGAGAAATACGAGGCGCACGACGAGGCGCAACTTTAACTCCTTGTAATTTCCCTGACCCGATGGCTTTCCTTAGCAAAGCAGCAAACCCCTCCGTGCAGATGACAAACATGAGAGGCGATAGCAGGGTTCCCTTCCTGAGCCCCCTAGTCGGGGAGAAGAAACCAATCGTAGTACCATTCATGAAGACTGAAAAAGTGGTAGATTGCAAACATTCCTGTATCCACCCTCTCCAGACAGAGTTAAAGCCCATATTTTCCAAAACCGCAGAAGGAATGACCATTCGACTCTACCATATGTCTTTTTCATGTCAACCTTCAGAGCCATGTATCCCTTCTTCCCTCGGGTTTTGATTTTCAAATAATGCATCAACTCATGTCCTAAGAGGATGTTCTCCACAATCTGCCTCTCCCGAATAAAAGCATTCTTCCCATCAGAGATGATTTGGGGTAGCAGATTAGCTAATTTCTCTGTTATAATTTTAGTGATCACCTTATACACAAATTAACAGAGGCTAATAGGGCGGAGCTAACGCATAGATTCCACCTGATCCACCTTAGGAATCAAAGTCAACCAGGTGTGATTGAAACTACGTAGCATTCGGCTTGTCTCAAAGAACGAGCCAACCGCCTTAACCATCGAATCGCCAACAATTCCCCAAAACACTTTGAAGAATTTACCCGTAAATCCATATGATCCTGGTGCCTGTTTAGAACCCATAGAGAAAACCGTTTTCTAGATTTCACTAGGGAGGACCTCAGCAGTCAAATGTGCATTTATTTCCGAAGTAACACATGGTTCGATGGGAAGATCTGCCACTCTCTCACTCATATTGGTCACCTGAGTATCCGAGGTAAAGAGGGTATGATAAAAATTGGTGGTGATATCTGCCTTCCCATGTTCCTCAGTGATCCAATCCCCATCATCATTATAAAGACTAGCAACAAAATTCGGCTTCCGACGAGCCCTTGTGACCGTGTGAAAATAGGACGAATTTTATCCCTTTTCTTTAGCCATCGTACACGAGATTTTTGTTGCCAGTACACTTCCTCCGCCTCCCATTGTCTATTCAGTTCCATTTCAAGACAACTCACCTCTTGCCAATCAATTGGATGAATGGACTTAATACGCTCAATCTCATTTTGCAAGGTATGAATATTGGGCAGGAAATTCGTAGTACCCGCTCTGCTCCAATCATACAACAAATGACGAAGTTTCTTCAATCTTTCCCATAACTGGAACATTGGGGTACCAGAGATATTCTCCTGCCAAACATAAGCCACCATAGCCTTGACTTCTGGATTCTCCGCCCATCTTGCATCGAACCGAAACAGAGGACGACACATCCGGGTATATGGATCACCCTGAAATGCTTGACAAGAGTCTCCGGGAAACATCGATCCAACTATGGGAACAAAGAGCCCTGTCAAGTCTCGCACGGATACATGCCAACCCCATACGTTTATTAGTCCAGGTGAAAAGATCACCCTGAAAACCCGGGTCATGTAGCCCTAAATTCTGAATAAGATTCCGGAGGTCCACAGATTGGGACGTGTTCCACGGGTTTCCTCCATCTTTTTCATTTTCATTAAGAGTAGCATTGAAATCGTCAATTATCACAAAAGAGAGCTCGAGCCCCTCTAAGATTTCACGCAGTTGAGTTAATTGAGCTACTCGAACTGCAACATTGCAACTCATATAAACACAAATCGCAACATATGAAGAATTATTCTCATTAATCCTGGTACAAATGCAGAAATTCGAATGAAAAAACACCGAAGTCTCAACTTCAGGGGCCCAATCTACAACTAGACCGCCAGAACCATTAGCAGCATCAACAAAAAAATATTGAGAAGAATCAAAACCTAAACCCCTCAACCTATGGGAGATGACTCTCCGGCACAATCTTGTTTCTGAAAAGAACACAAGGTCCGGTTTATTGGAACACACTAAACCTAGAGTTGTTTGGAATGTGAGGGATGGTCCAATTCCGCTTACATTCCAGGCCAGTATCCTCATTTATCAGACTGTGGCCATTCTTGGCTGGCTTCCTCCACCATAACAGTTCCAGTTGGTTCTTCCACAAATTGTTTCTTGGGAGTTGGGATCTCCCAAAATCACCCTCCACTTCTTCAAGCGAACGTTTTCGATTCCCCGTCCCCAAATTAGACCCATATTCGTTGAGCTTCATGATCATTTCACCTTCATCAGGGTACAATGGCTCCTTGAATTCATTGATAACCATATTAGCCTCAAAGGCAGCCACCACCTGACGAACCTGACCCGATTGAATTTGATGATCATGGTCAAGAAGAGGGCTTCTGCTTTTTATTTCGAAATGGAGCGCATCCTCCTCAGAGAGAGACGCCTTTGAACCCTCCTGGTCACCGCTTCTCTTAACTGGGTCCATATCCGCAATCCCCTTTGTTACACGGTAACCTCTCCACCCTAGGGATCCGCCTCCGTCGAGGGAAGAAGGCCATTGGTCTTACCTCCAGTCTTCCTCTGTCTCACTTTCTTGCCAGTAGACTGAGCAGTCGCACATGGTTTCGAGGCCGCAATTCTTTTCCCTGGTGGAGGTGATCTAGCGCGAGGCTGGTAGGAGCTGGAGTCCACCTTACCCTTCCCAAGTTTCACCAGGCAGCGGGCCTTCTTCATTTGTTTGCCCTGCACGTTATGGACCCATCGAGCCCACTCTCCCATTTCGGGGCGCATGAGCGAGACTCCTACGTTGTTCAGCTGCTAGATCTCAGCCAGGTTTGGCAGCAGCACGAGCGCTTCCGAGCTTAATTTGGGGAGACTTGGACATTCGGAAGCCTCGAGGGCTTTGGAGGCGGTGTCCATCCCTCGGCGAGAATGAGAGAGTAGAACCCGAGTTTTTGTAGTTAGGCCGAGGTGGGGCAGTGACCGCCGCTTCTTGATTCTCACCCTTCAAATTGTTGAAATTAACTGCCCCAAGTCTAGCATTATTATGATCCTGGTACCTCTTGTTCACCCAAACCGAATTAGTTCCTCTCAGGTAGGCAAGTTATTGATCCTCATTGTCGTAAATTCGGGTACCTAGCTTCTTGGTTGACATATGTGGACCTAAATTCTCCTTTCGAGATGGCGGGTCAAAAGTATAGGCTCGGAGTCAGTTTCCCACCCTTCCACATTGATAGCAGAAACTGGGAAGGTACTCGTACTTTAGGCCAACCCAAAAACAACCTATGTCGTCATTGGCCGCCATAATTTGGGATCGCAGCGGTTTTGTGAAATTAATTAGGGCCTTGACCTTCACAAATCAGGTTCCCGTATCCTGCAAAAACACCTGACTCTAGTACTTTCCCGATCGTGGCAGTCACCACCTTTCTACCAAACTGCTGCGTACAACAATCTTCCTCATGTCCCATAGTTGGATCCGGAAGGGAACAATGGAAAGGTCCTCATAAATTTGTTTTGTGATGATCGGAGTCCACTGGCGGAGGTGAAGAATCTTGTCGTTGATCACCCAGGGAGTGCGCTTCAGCACCCAAATTTTAGCTTCTTCACTTGGGAGCATGAACTACTCGACCAGCCCATGTTTGGCCAGCACCACCCTAAGGCGGCCTTGGATGAGCCAGGGATCAAGGACCGCATCATGAAGCTTAGTAGTCGAGATTCTACTCTCCGTGAAGACCCTTCCCAGCAATGAGTGCGCATATCGGTATTTTGTCGATTGCACTTCTTCCATTGAGAACTGAACCACTTAATCCGAGGAGACGTGCGCCATTTCTTGTACCTGATCAAGTGAGATATCAGCAGCAAGATTAGAATCCCGAAACTCCCTTTCAAGTTGCGGATAAACCGCCGCCATGCCCATGCTACGTAAATTACGTTGCTGCATGCCTACCATACGTGTATGGAGGATTGTGCTATACACCCATGCCATACGAATATATTAGGACGAGGGAGAGGGGGAGCCGAGGTACCTGAGTTCAGCGGGACTCTGCACGGGATTGGTTCCTGGGAAGCACTCGCCTGGTTCCTTGCTCGATGATAAGAAAGTATTTGAGAGCAGGGACTAGGTTTGAGAGAATTAAATAGGAAGCTGAATCCCGCACTAGTATAACTCGAGCCCACTCGGTTTAGGTTTTTTAGACTCCGATTGTTGGTAGGAGTTTTGAAAGCTGTTAACGGATTTGATAAAAAAATATTCTCCTTTATATTTTTATCCAAAATCCCGCTAAATTCTGAGAGTAAATCGGGGAGATAAGGACCCCTAACAAACTCCCAACGGTCCAGTGCATTGTTCCGCTTTGTTTCCACGGCGGCCGGCCTTTCACTGGAAAGTCGGCTCTGTTCCCGCCGCCGGGGTCCATGTTCAGGATTACGAAACTGAGTTTGAGGGAGAGTGACAAGCCCGGTCACCCTTACAGTGGGGACCATCAGGGGTGAATTTTCTGCCAACCCTACCCTGTCTATTTCTTCCATTTAGGGAATCACAAATTTCCAGGCGATCTTTCGAGCGATACGTCGAAGTTTCTTATTACCGATGACGCCCGAGTTGTTTGCGGCCTGGATATGTCCAAGCTTACGTTTTTCATTTCTTCTACTAGGACAGAAGTCGTCCATGGTGCTCCATTCATCACTAGGAAGGTGTCGACGATGGCGGCTGAGCGCAGACGTCTTAAGCGCTACAACTCCATGCTTCCCCAGATCCTTCTTGTGGGATAGAGGTCGCCACACTTTCTTCGACCATCGTTCCTCCTTCCAACCCTGATTTCTCTCTCAGTGGGAGAGGATCGCAAGCATCATCGACACCAGGATGTTGCAGATCCATTGTCCTAGACGCAGGAGAGAGGGGAGAGCTTTCCCCATGAGTTTTTTTTAACTAGTGCCTATGAACAAAGGTAAAGTTGCAGAACAGAGAAGAAGAGGGCGAAGTGAAGAAGGCTGAGTCTTCATTCTGAATTGAGAAGAAGTAAATTCTTATTCACATTTAATTTATGTTCACATTTAATTTATATTAGCGGTCAAATTCAAAAGAATTCAATGGCCTCTCTAATACCTATCAAATCCTTTCCCGATGAAAAAATAAAATTCAAATCAAAGCTTGCATATTTGGACGTTTCTCATTTTAGGAACATTAATTAAAATTGATAGATTATACTTTTAATATTTAGTTCACTTTAGTAATTTTTTCACATTTTAATAGTTATTATATATGTAATACTTACAATATTCTTATTTATGAGACACCCAGTTCAATACCGTTTTTTATGGTCTATTATCGGTTAAACCAATAAAGTGTGAATCATTTGCTATACCGGCTCAGACTCTAGTTTGGTTATGACAACATTGGTATTTTTTTGTAATGGATGCAAGACATCTAAGCCTTCATTCAAAACCAAAAGAGGTTCAGAGAGCTCCTAACAGTCTTACAATAGCCAATAGTGCAAAGCAAGATCAGAAACTGAAACTGAAACTGAATGAGTGCCTAAAGGAATGAAATGCCCACAATTCACAAGAAAATCATCACACTTGTTACCCTCATGATAAATATGATGTATCGACACCTCCTAATCAAGTTTGACGAGCTCGGAGAACCTCTGGATGATGGTTGCATGTTGATGATCCGACATTTGCGGTTTCGATAGGAGTTGGACTTGCACTGAGAATCCAGCTCCAGTCGAATACGTCGGTGGCCGAGGTTCCACCCCAACTGAAGACTGTCTACAGTGCCTCTCAACTCTGCCCAAGTAATGGAACACATTCCCAGGTAACTAACGAATGTTGCTAAGCAGCATCATGTATGATCTCGTAACAAACCACCCACAACAACATGGTTTGGATCAGTATGAACAGAGTCATCCGTGTTGAGAGTAAATCAAATGGCGGCTTCCAGGAGATCTCCATCTCCATCCTTGTGGGTCAGCTAGGCATATGGATGACCTCTCCTTGTCCATGGCATTCTGCACGCCATTTATCCATGCCAGGACGCTTTGTACAAAGTCTTTGGTTGATATGGTCTTGCAGCAAAGACTCAATCATTCCCGGTCTTCCAAAGGGACCAGCAGTTAATGCCAAACTCAAAGTAGTGGCGCTAATGTTGAATGTTGGTCAGAAGCCAATCCTGCAGATTCATTCTGCAACACATGCAAGACTGACTCTGGGGCTTGGTGGGATTACGTGCACTTGTTGTCTCTTGTCAGTTGTCTCCGCTGCCTTTCAGTGTTGGTGATGAGTCTCTCTTTTGCCGCTAGCAAGAGGAAATGGTTGATATGAGTGGCGTCCTCTCCACTGCCAGAACGACTTCCAATCTAGTTATGGTTCAACCTCTTCAAGGTCTGTTGTAATCTTGTATGTTGACTTCACACGAAAATGCGCATCGCTTCCAGGGCCCCAAACTGCAGGATCCTCTCCCAAGTCACCCCTAGGCGGTTGGATGCCCATCACCTACAAAACCATCTCATGAGGTAGAAAGTTCTGTCGGAGGGAATGTTCCACTCGCCATTCGACAAAGCAAAGTCCGCCATAGCCTGGTATTGGTCGATTTGTGATACCTCAATTTTGATTTAGGTTCAACAACAAGTACTCAATGAGTTACTACAAAGAATCACGTGGAACCAAAATTTGTTCCACAAGACCCCCGACCAAGTTTAGAAATCAAGAGGACAATGAGTCACTCAAACTACTAGGTGCTATCGAGCTAGATGGGAATACCTACTATGGTTAATAGTACATATAAGAATTATAGTAAACTATGTGAGATAAGCAAAGAACACCATTGAATTTCAAATAGCGAGAATAAATTCTTGAGACACGGAAGTACAAAAATGGTGTTGACAGACGGATAAGTTCCAAGTAAATTTCGGGAATAAATTTTTTATAAGAGTGGAGAAATGTAACACCCCAACATTTAGGATCAGGTTGGACTGCAACATAAGAATGGTTGGATCGACGGTTACATACGAAAAACTCAAACCAGACCAGGTTAATGACCAAGGCCTAAATAATTGACGCGTCCCAAATTGATGGTTGCCCGATGAAAAGGTTGCAATCGTGGGATACAACTAATAATAATGATTATTAGTATACATTAAGAGAATAACCATTCCATTCTGTTGAACCTCGCAACCCTAAATCAATTGGTTCTAGGCTTCTAGAGGCATTCAGGAAATAAAGGCCCTAGCTGTCAATTGCTCTGTCTTTTCCATTCTCCACGCAAACATCACCGCTGAGACCTACACTCTCGATCTGATTGACGCCACATACAAAAAGGGAAGTGAATCCGGGAGAGGTGGTAATTGTCGATCATGAAAGGTTGTTGGCGAAGTAACCACTTGATCCCAATAACTCGAGTTGTTGGGAAAGGGTTTGTTAACCTTTTTTTTTATCTCTTACACGCCCCCTTAAATGAAAGCCTACAGTTTAAGGGGTTTTCTTATACGGTTTGCATAGGTTAAATAAATCATTCCTTGTTGCCAAACCATTAGGCTTTCAGTTTGTAAAGGTTGGACATACCATTCCTTGTACTAAATCATTGTTTAAATTGGGGGTCGTCATGAGGATTCGAAACCATAACCTTTCGGTTCTAGGATATGATAGATGTTGGCTAACTTTGGTCCCAAGGACTCGACTTGTTGGGGTCTAGGGGAAGAGTTTGTTAAGTCTTATCTCTTACAGATCTCGTCACTCTACCTTTCGAGTTTTGGGTCTTCGTGAGCCGAAGCGGTGGAATTATTGCACACACG